GAAATAGACACGCGAATGCCTATTGCGTAGACGTGCGACATTCAAAATATACTACTTTTATTTTTTTGCAAAAGAAAAAAAAGTTGTGTCTGGATGTCCCCACCAAGCCCTACTAACAATCCTGACCGGAAATGTCCATGCATGAAGCAAGTTTGCATTGGTTTGACGCCACCTCAAAACAGGGAAGTTCATTTGCGATCCTCTGGCGCCACCTAGTGCTGAAAAGAATTAAATTATCTCAACACAAAAATTTGGCATGCATACGTCTGTACAAGCGAAAACAAAGCAATTGACGTGAAAATCGCGTGAAATGCATGTTTGAACATTAGGATTACAATGCATTCAAAAATATTAATTATAATGGGTGTCTATGGGACAGAAATTGTAGATTATGTTCATTGAGGTATCAAACATATCTTTTTGCTGCAATGCCGGAAAATTATCAGCAGGTGGCATTATAAAATTTAGGACATTTTAGACACCCAGTTTAAATTTCAGCTCTCTAAGTGTTTTATTTCAACGCTTTGTCCTTGATTAAAAGACGAAAATACGCATAAATCTACAGGAACTGTAGACATGATCACATGAGGGATAATTATTAAGTGTGAATATTTACAACAGGTCTCCTAATCCCTGCTGCTAATACTTTTAGCTGCACAGTTTGTACCACTTTTTAAACTGCCTTTGAGCAACGCGCTTCAAAAGTGCTGCATGGTAGCTAAGCTCAAAAAATATATATATTTCCCATGAACAACTTATTCAGAGAGGCTGTGAGTTTTCTTAAGAGGGCAAACAACTTTGTGTAGCATGCAGAAGTGCTGAAACAACGTATCGGGTCCAAGTTTTAGTCACACAGAAAAGGCTTTCATAATTTAACAGCTCTACAGCTCTGAGGAACAGCAGGTAAAAAAATAAAATGGGGTTGAGGGGGGGGAATCAAGACATTTCTTGAACTATTTCCACCATGACTGCTTGGATTCAGGGATCGTAATAGAACTAGAGGCAGTATGCAAAGAGATGTAGAAAACGGAACTTGGTGAAATGAGCACTAAAGGGCAGAAAGACAATCTCTCCCTCCCTCCCTCCCACACACACACACACACACACACACACACACACACACACACACACACACACACACACACACACGGCCCATATAAAAATAAACAGGGATAATAAATAGCATATCCATAACAATGAGATTGCCCTTTGGACAACGTCGAGGCCTGCTGACTCCAGCCTTTCTTGAAATGGGTTCCTTCAACATGCTTGTCTCGAGGGTGTGATTTCACTTTCTTCTACACACAGACGCCTTCTGGCCCATCGCTCGAATATTACAACCATTGCAGGAGCGCAGCACACACCACGCCAGGAAGCCCGTTGCAACACTGCTGACGCGGACTTTGAGAAAAGGACTTCCATAAATATTTATCCCTTCTGAATCTGTGGTTTATTTTGAGGCACGTGTGGTTCGGCGCCCGCTCACACGAAGGCGCGTGAGCCGAAGCGCACAGAGCCGCGGTACATGATGTGAGCAAACCTCAAACACATGCTTAGGCCCTGGCTCGGGGTGCAATGAGAGACACTTAAGCGCAGGGGTATAAATCTTTTAAACCCTGAGCCACTGACATTTCCCCCAGAGAGATACAGCGGAATATCTTAATTACGCCACTTAACATCACATTGGCGGGTCCCCGGCGAGCCCAAGCAACCATGTAATTCATTGTACTAAGCATCGGTTAAAAAGCCAAATACATCAAGCGTCAAGGATGCAACGTGCGGAGTGGTTTGTAAACTGGGATTTCAAAAGCAGACGTTTTCCTTGTGAAGCTGGAGGGCATGTTTGCACAGTCAGCCTCAGAAGTTGGACAGACGTGACGCGTTCCGGTGTCAATCACAAATACAAGCCGTCCAAAATAATTCTGATGTGATTATTTTCATTTCCTCTCCGAGTGATGCTCTTTGCTCTATTAATTCAAACTCAAGCCTGTTTTTGTGCTAATTTACATTGAGTTCTGGGTATCGTCTGGCAGCTCAATTACACTGGACTTTTGCCACCATGACTCGATGATAGATGATGAAAACGGCTGTTAAAGTGTGATGAAAGAGTACTGCAACAAAGGAACAACGCCAATACATATTGCGGTGTGATGCTTGTTTTAGGGCAGAACTCTTAACTCGCAGAGGGATCGCCACCAGATAAAGAAAAAAAGAATACATCCTCCTCCACCTCATCGGCAGAACATCAATTCGTACAGACTTTTCCGGAAATAATAAGCGGGCCTCAAGCCTGAGACCTCATTGAAAGAGGGAAATGACACAAACTATGTCATTGTCTTTAATACAGTATGTGATGAGTGATCCAATTTTAGTCCCAGAACACATTGCAACATGGGCTGTATTGTAATTAAATTACCGACACGACATAAAAATGTTTGTCTTTATATAATAATGTGACCAAGATCCATTTTCCACTACTTTTTTGATTGTCGTGGGCGCACTGGGGCACAGCGTCATGCTGAGAGGAGTTTTGTTTCGTTTTTTGCTTTTGTAGCTAACCCGGGAAACCAAACAATGACAAACACTCCTTGGTGTGATAGCGTGCAACACCAAAAGCACAACAGCGCTAATAAGACCAATACATTCTGGCAGAATTAATTAGTATGGGGAGCGGGCGATATGGGCAAGAAAAAAAAAATGCATTTTTTTTTCTTCTTTAATTAAATCTATAATGAGAATTTGTGATATTCTACAAGAAAACACTTTAAATCTCTACCTGCTTCCCAGAACAAATATGGATAGACAACACTTTTGAACAACAGCTCATGTTTTTTTTTTGTTTTTTTTTTACATTGCTTTATGCATCTTCTGTAAAACATTGCCCAACATTATTCTTTGGCAATATTTAACAATGAGGGAGTTCAAATTATGTCCAGGCGATCAAAGGAGAATATGCAAATCAGGTTTGCTCAACAGTATCAAGTAAGGCTTCAAGAAAAAAAAGTCCACAATTATCATTAAACTGAGATGACATCAACATGTAAAGCTAATCGTTGTAACAGCACACACTCGCATAAAAACATTGGGCTAGAACGTCCGCAGAATGTCATGTCGGTGATGGTGCTAGTGATGTCTTGCCGGTCTTTACTTGCTTTGGGGGAGGGTTTTCTGACCGTGACAGACTGGACAATTTTTTTAGCGGTAGTCGTGCGTGTGGAGACAGCGAGTTTGACGGATTCCTCCAAATCGTTCATGGCGGTCGTTCACAAGTGGCGCAAAAACAATTTGGAGGTAACGTGTTCTTCACGGCGAGTGTTTATCCAGCACATCTTCGAATGTTATTTTGACCGATGCCGGTCTTGTCAAAGCCAAGTCTATTCCAGCCATGGGACGTACACTTGCGTCTTTCTATAAAATTATTGGCTGAGAGAGGAGACTATATCTTCCATATGAAACAATGCAGTATTCCGCTTGACTCGCACAACTGAGTCATGTGATTGAATCCAACCTGCTAATTTCCCGAATGAGGATTTTCTCCTCCGACTTTGCGGTCAATGCACCCATTTATTCTTCTTCTTGAGACAATATTCATATTCAATTATGTAAGATTGCACATTGTAAAAGCAACGTTTATGATAAAATAGTCGGCGATATACATCGCCCAGCCCACGGCATTAGTATTATTATTAAACACACACACTGGCTCATCTCTTATGTTGAATCACATCGGAACAATGTTTCTCAACCACTTGACAGAGATCAACAGGTTTGCCACGGGAAATGACAAAATGTGTTTTTTGGTGGGGCGTGGAACAGATTAATCGCATTTCCATTGAGGGATGATTTCGGAAACAAGTGACTCGACTTATTAACTTGGTTCTGGAATGATGTAAAATTCAAGGCGCCGTTTACCAGTTTTGTTCAACGAAACAGGCCCAGAGTTCACACTGTAAGTAAATTTAAACAAGATCATTTTATCAATTTTTAACAGTTTCTGACATGACAATCTTTTGTATTAGTGGCGTGCTGTGCTATTTTTCTGAGGTGGGAAAATACTGCATTAGATTGTGAAGGTGTACCAAATGAAAAGTCCTCTTCGGGGCCAAGACGCAACCCTTCGCAGCCCTCTACCCCCACCTGCCGTCGTGTGCTCGCAAGCCGCTGCAAATAAGATCAATCAAGCAAAGTGATACGATGGCATCTGATTGGAAACATCGGGTGCTAATTAAGTAAAGGTCGCACTGAAGCGAGTAAATGTTGGCAACACGATGACAACGACAACATGGGTGACAACGTTGCCACTAGCAGTGCCCGGACAGCTTCACTGTTTTTTTGACTTTTGTTTTTTGGGGGGGGGGAGTTTCCACGGATGAGCTGAGAATCTGAGACTCAGTCTTGACAATCATAACACCTGCTAATCACATTTGCGTGGGGCGCACACGTAGACATATGCATAGCATACACACACACGCACACGGGTAACGCAGCTTTGTATGCGCCAACTTCTCAAAGGCACTCCTGACAACTGCGGCACCGTGCACGTGCAAATGTCTCACTTTGCATCATCTGCACATTGCAAGGACGACCGGACACAAGGAAGAGGACAAGGATACGCCGCTTGCACGATTCACGTGGGACACAAATCCTCCGATTATGACATTAAGTTGCACAAATCTGTGTGAATAAAGACTCAGAATTCCGGCAATACAAAACAACCGAAATCGACTAACAGTTATCAGAGAGTGTACGTGTGCCTTTGTTTAAAAAAATAAATAAAAAAGGGAGCTTCAAAAAAAAAAAAAAAAAAAACCAACGCCCCCCTTTCAAAGCCCCCCTGGCTCCTGCCAAGACGTGATGCAACTATAAAACAAGGTCCAGTCAAACAATCCAGCCCCTCTCTTCGTCTCCAGCTTCTCACCACGCCAAAACCAAGTTGTCTACAAAGTCACTCAGCTCAAGCTTTCCGCGCACACGCACGCCCACGCGCATGCACGTTTTACCTTGGCTGCCGCACACCAACACCGCCATGAGATGCACGAGTTGGAGCTTCATTGCAGAGCAGCTCCTTCGCAGCTATAGAAAGATGCCGTTCAAGAAAAACACACGCAAGGCTCGGGCTCGGATCCGTTCATCCACTCCGTCTTGGAATCCGCGGGCGACTGTGGTCCACTGTTCCTTTTATTTCTCGACTCTCTCCTCCGCCCCTTCCTTTACGCGCGCTCCCGCTGCCACGCTCGTTCACCGAGCACGCGCTGCACCCTCCCTTTCAGCCTAACCAACACCACAGTTGGCCAGAAGTGGCAAAAGTCGTCACACGCTGCACTGAAGTACTTAAGTGCAGATGAGTGTGTGAATAAAACGACTAGTGTAAGTTCCTGTGCTTTACCTTCAACTAAAGAAGCACAAACTGAAATGTACAAAGTACAACAGTTAAAGATAAATTATTGTGTAGCCTAATTCATTTTGAAAAGAATAAAAACCACACACAAAATAGATTCCCTTGTTATGAACTTGCATTGCGTTTGGGGGGTGGGGGGGTCATCACTGGAATTGGTACAGAAGCCACACAAAGGTCACAAATTGTTCATGCAGCAGCCAACATGACAATGCAATATCTCACCTCTCCAAATCTGTTGCATTATTGCCGTTGATGCACCCTGGTTGATGTAGTCTACTCACATGTTGCCACTGCGCCAATTTATTTTTGGCAACTGATCAGTCCTCAAAATCGCAATCTTTGGTGACGTGCACTTCTCTATGGACAGTATGTTCTTTTTACATCCTGAGTTAGGAAATAAAACAGAAGCTTATTTTGACAAAATAAAAAGTAGAAACTACAGATATCTGTTTTCAAAAGTCATGAGTAGAAGCAAAGTAAAATACAGATGGCTGAAAAATCGACTTTAGGACAGTGGACCTACCAGGGCAAATGTGATTCATTATTTCCCACTGACAAAAATTTGTGTCCCAAGACTTCCTTTACAAATGTACATGAATGACGCTTCAGTTTCTCCGTGAGATGCAGAATTGATCATGCAAAGGCCCCGTCTTAGATTGTTTCCTTACGAGAAGAAAGGCTTCATGATGACTCATTGCACAAGTGTCTTGGGAAATGTTTGCATGAGGCCATTTCTTCAAAAAGCCCTTGTAGAAAGTAAATGATAACCGCTGTCAAGATATGCCAGACTGTATCTAACAGGAAGAAAAATCACTTCACTGATGCAATCGATTGCATACGCTAGCTCCGTTTTGAACTGCTTAAACAAAACTGCGCAGGAACTTGCAGATGGGGTGAAAGTCAAAATATTCAGTTTCACAGGGAGTTGGAATATCTTCAAAATGAGAAAGAATCAAATCAGGAATCTAGAAATAATCTGTTCCGAGCATTTTGTTGGAATTATTATTTTGGATTTTATGGCTAAAATGGCAATATTGAACTCAGTTTGAAGGATGGAGCTACGCCACTTTACATCAAACACAATGGCGAATGACATTCAAGAGCAAAGCAGAGAAAACAAAAGCATCTTCGCAAAACTACTAAAAGAATGTACATTCACAACAATTGAAACACATTAACACGAGTCTTTGAAAACATATAAAAGTACAGCGGCGTATTCCATTTGTGTGCAGCATAACAGCTAAATGCCACTTCACCATGTTTGCTTTGAACACTGAGCTCCACTATTTGACCCGATTCTGCAGACCTCAGAGAGCCTTCTGGGTTTGATATTTAATCTGTATTTCTTTGACATACTCAAGACCTAAACCATTCTGTCCTTTAGAGACCAGTAGCAGAATTTTCAAAAGAAACCCCGAGCTGCAGCGTTCTAAATGAGCTGCAGCTGTTTTATGCTCTTTTGAATGAAACTCCTGGTGTGTTATTTCTTTTCTTTATTGCCGAAAACAATTGCCTAGGTTTTGTTTTGGTTTATCTGAAGGAAATTTTGGTTTCACATAACAATAAATTATTTTCTGGTTATCATGGTCATAATCATGTTTTGCTTCGTTGCTATCCTAGGCACCCTGCTCTGTCATTGGCATCACAGACAAACACAAAAGGCAAAACACACTTGTGGAGTTCATCCTGTCGATGTCTTTTTCATGGGCCACATCATAGTTGTGGTTGCCCTCAGGAGGGAAGCACATAAATGTATAATCACTGCGGGTTTAATGGAATGCAAAAAAATCGCGGTTCGGAATGGATCTTATCTTTTGCGTAAACAGGAACGGATTTAATGAGTTTTCAAATGAAACATCAAGACCTGAAATATTTTTCCTTTGAGGAAAGTGCAACATCAATAGTTTGTCTTCTTTTAAGGCAATGAAGGATGCAGTGCCAACAAATGCAACGGTAACCATTTGAACAGTGAATTACTAGGCTATAAAAGCACCACGGGCATTTGTTATTGCTTAAGCTTGACCTGACGAGCCTTGGAGAGGTTGTTTAAATGCCGCTGTCAGTTGCATATGAACTTTTCTTTTGCCATTTGTATTTTTGTTCCTAGATTTGCACTGATAGTATCGTCAGCATGTTTGGAACGTGTGAACAAGTTTGACATTGACGAAGGTGCAGAAGGTGAGCCACACTGCGTTTGTTTTCCCGAATCGGTGTAAGGCTCGACTGGCTGACAGTTTGTGTGACCTCAGGGATGTTAAAAATGTAGAGATTCCATAGTTCAAGTAACTTATTGATGAGCACGCCCGCTTCGTCTTGCATCTGTGACTCACTAGCAACTCGACAGATGCATGGTGCAAGATAAGCACAAATAACCTTGAAAAGGTCAAGCCACTCGGAGAAGCAGCATGGCTTTTGTTCCAACGAATGTTATTGCACAGCATTACATCATGCACACTGATGAGAATTTCTCCTGCTTTACACAAATGATATTTTTCTACCTGATTGCGGATTATTACATACAGTGGTATCTCTACTTTCGAACGTCTCTTCATACAAAATATTCAAGTTACGAAACGTCTCGACAGGAAAATATTGCCTCTTGTTATGAAAGAAATTTCAAGACACGAAAGGTAAAAATACAGTCTGTCCTACTAGTCGCAGCTCCGAGTTTCCTGAATGCAACATACTTGTAGCTGCTCTGCCATTGGCTATTACCGAGCATCATCCTGGCATCCCATTGGCTAAGAAAGACTTCTACCGTATCGGTCTGTGTGTGTAGATAGATGGTTAGGTGTTGATGCAGCGTCCTCGTCATTCGCACAGGAGGTGTTCCGATGGTTTAGCGTAAATGCGAATCACCCAGAAAAAGTGTTCGCCAGTCGCTCACTATGCTGATGTTTGCCTTGGACATTTTCGAAGAAGTATTAAAAGCCGATAAAAGCAAACAACCTTGGATCAGTGCTTCGCAAAACGGCAGGCAAAAACCACTTCTGTGAGACAGCATGACCTAAAGAGGGCAAAAAACGATGAGGACGCAGTTAAAAGTTAAATGACCATCATTTTTATTCTTTATTCTTTGTTTGTCTCATTTATTGCGCAATAATCTAATTGTCACATGTATTTGTTACATATGGCGATGCATTTTTATGCTTTAGGAAACACTTGTCTAAATTTTGGGGGGCTTGGAACGAATTAGGGCATTTACATGGAAAGCACGTCTCTACTTACAAAGTTTTCTAGTTCAGAAATTTCTTCCAGAACCAATTATTTTTATAAGTAGAGGTACCACTGTATTATTAAAAACAAATTCATACGTTAGAATAAGAGAAAAGTCTCGCAATTCCCACCTCTTGATCTTGCAAGGACATAACTAGCTATTTGAGGGAGAGGATTTTTATTTCTCTCAAAGCGGTCGGGAAGTAATATCAACTTTAAACTGTTTTTTTTAATTGTTGCATGATTATAACGGTATTGTGTAGATACTTCCTTCATTCACAAGATGACAAATTAGACCACTTGTTAAAAACAACACGTTTGTCCAAATGTCCCTCAGGAGCTGAGGGAAGCAAACGGAGGCCATACATTGCTTGTCTGCAGGGTATGTTTTTAGCATGACTCTGTCCAACCTTTGGTACACAAAGGAGAACGATCACTTTCATTGAAAAGCCCTCCACAGTTCTCCCGACTTGGCAAACAATGTGCAAGGCTGATGTAAGAGTAAAAAAACAAGGGGAAAAAAAACACCACTTGTAGTTCTGTCTTGGAGACACACATATTCATTCTGTTGTTTACATGTCTTGTGCGGACACCGCAAATGGTGGAAATATGAATCAGCTTTCTTGTGTGTCGAGTGTAAACATGGGAGGTGCCTTGCAGCTTACATTGCAAATCTCGTGTGATATGCCGTCTGCATAACACACAATGAGTTTTGCAATGTAATTTGGAACTGACATCATGTATGGTGGTCAACCATGTTTTGGCAAATGTTCTGCACAAGGCTGAAGAGAAAGAAAACACACACACACACACACACACACACACACACACACACACACGCACACACACACACACACACACAGACTTCATCCTTTGATGCTTGGTCTTGAGGTTTTCTATTACGATTACAGTGCAACTTTGGAGGAATATATTTCCCTTTGTGTTCCGTTCAAAATATGAATTGCGCAACCTGAAGGGGGGGTCATTAAATTTCTTTGTAACGTGCTCTTGTTTTCTTTTTTCCTATGGTTACAATTAAGAAAAAAAAAAAACAATTGACATCAAGGTGGCATAGCAACACATGAAGCTGGAGCCAACAAGATGTACTCATGAATGCGTTACAGACATGCAATTAGTTCAAATGAGATGATGATTTTAAGGCTTGCACAAGAACACTTGGATTGTCCGTACACTATAGGAAAGAATGGAGTTATCAACTTTAAAGCCTTAATCGGGAAGGTTCATTCAGTAGTTTTTTTTTTGTTTGTTTGTTTTTTTTTTGTGGTTTCAGTCTGGTAGGCAGGACTGGAAGTAGCAGTGGTTCTTTGAAAATCTCGACGAGGTTGCCAGGATGAAAGAAAACTTTCATTTGTCCATATTGCCACAAAAATGGGAAGGTGATATATTGCTCAATTGAAAAAACATTAAACATTTATTTTAATCTCGTGTGACATGAATGTCTCAGCAGTGACAATTATTGATTTTTGGAGCTTGCAATGCAGCTCTTGAAGTTGAAGAGTATTTTCATACATTTCAGCCAATTGCGGCTTGATGCATCTAGTAAT